GTGATAAGTACCCCTAACATCATCGTGCAGACAAAAACTGATCTCAGATAATCGTTAACGCTATTATATTTATGGGAGGCGATGAAACGCGTTTATCCAACGTGAACCAGAAAGGGAACAAGCCGGAGACGCGACAGAACTGATAAGATAAAGCTAAATAGAACCAAAGGAATTCCCTAATTGCGGCGCCTTCAGACAAGTGTCCTCAGCGAGTTCTCCCAAGGTGGGACTCCTCGGCCGTCGGGTAGGCTGAAACGGGTCCCAGCCAGGGCACGGAGGGGCACGGTAGGCCTGTGGGAACGAAGAGGCTCGGGCCAAAGGGGCAAGAGGCCTGGGGGGGGGGGGTTACCTGGTGAAAGGGGCCCCAAAATTCCAGGGGTTTGCATTAGGATTCAAGCGGGAACGTTGAACAACAGTTGTAGTGTCGGCTCGGGTTATCTGCTTATCTGGCGACACTGCCTGACGGTCTGCTGATGGGGACGGCCGTTTTTCTGCTGCTTTCGCTGTTCCTCCTCGCTTTCCCTCTTTTCTTTTCCCCTTCCTTCCCCTCTCTCTTTCTTCCAACTGCCTTCCCCACTCTCTTTCTGTCGTCTCTCTCTCTGCATACTAATTATTCCTTTCCTTTCTTCGTTGTCATCTTATTCCCATCTTCTGCTATCCCCTTACGTGAGTCCTTGGCGAAAAAGGCAAAGAATATATATATAATCGTCGTTAGTGAAGAAAGAAGAGAAGGGGTAGAGAAGACGAAGAGGAAGGAGAAGACGAAGATGGAGGAGGGGGGGGAGAAGTAGCAGTCCCACCCCCAGAAGAAGACGAAGAAGAAGGAGAAGAAAACGAAGACGAAGAAGGATGGAGAAGGAGGGGGGAAGAGAAGTAGCAATCCCCCCCCCCCCATCCCCAGGAGTGGCAGCTGTCCCACGAACTTGGAGATATATCTTACCCCTCCCCCTTTCCCCCTTCTCCCCCCCCCCCCGGATGCCGTAATCACCACAATGCTGGCGACGGCTCCCCGCTGCATCTGTCCTGCGTGGCTCGTTTGTCATGAGGCCGAGACAAGCGGAGAACATCTGTCCTGGTCGCTCTCCTCATTCCATCTCTCCTCGTACCATCTCTTCTCATATCGTCTTTCCTCATGCCATATCTAATCATGCCATCTCTTCTTAAATTGCCTCTCCTCATACCATCTCTTCTCATATCGTCTCTCCTCATACCGTCTCTCCTCATGTCATCTCTCCTCATGCCATATCTCACCATGCCATCTCTTCTTAAATTGCCTCTCCTCATACCATCTCTTCTCATATCGTCTCCTCATCTCTCTCCTCATATCGTCTCTTCTCATATTGTCTCTCCTCTTACCAAATCTTCTCATCTAAACTCTTTTCATACCATCTTTCCTCATACTATCTCTTCTCATACCGTCTCTTCTCTTATCATACCATCTCTTATCATCATATCTCCTCATGTCATCTCTCCTCTAAGTTTTTTTTCCTAGATCATTTCTACTCTCCGTACTTTCTCTTCCTTTTTTCTATGCATTCCTCTCGTGGCCTGTGTTACTTGGCTCTCTATTCATTTTTTATCCCAATATCCTTATATTTTTTCCACTTTTTCTTTGACGTGACGTGAAGACGAGTGGTAGCGAGTGACTTGCTTGAAAGGAACTTCAAGTAGATAGCGCCTAACAAACCAATTCTCCGACTATTTCTTTGTCTAAGAAAGGAAGAAGTTGAAGACGCAGAGGGACAGGAAGAAGAAGAAGAAGACTATAAAACAAAAAGAAAAAAAAATATTTTAAAGAAAAACAACATGAAGAAGATCAAAGCAGTCAGAAAGTGTATCAGGATAAGTGCAGTTGCGTGTGCACTTACTCGGGGGAAATGATGGATGTTCAGTTCCACTTCTTGGATTTCGCTTCGTCTTTGCGGTGGATACGACAGGCGCCGCCCGAGATGGTGGTGGCGGGTGAAGAGAAGGGGGTAAAGGGAGGAGTGTGTGTGTGTGTGTGTGTGTATTTTTTGTGTGTGCGTGCGTGTGTGTGTGTAAGTGTATTTTTTATGTGTGTGTGTGCGTTTGTGTGTGTGTGTATTTTTATGTGTGTTTTTTTTTTGTGTGTGTGAGTGTGTGTGTGGCATGTGTGTGTGCGTTTGTTTGTGTTGTGTGTGATAGAAAGATGAAAGGTAACAAGAAGAAAGAGCGATAACGTGAAGAATACTGTATCGACGTTAATTATTGCGACATGACACGAATCACGGTGAGAAACAAACCCGCAAGAAAGAAAGCTTAAACGAAGGACACAGACACAGGCGAAGATAATGATCATTACCATCCATAGTAATTAAAGAGAAAAAAAATGAAAATCACGTAACGACCTTAGAGAACACGAAGGCTACGGGAAAGGAAGGGGGAAGTGGGGAGTGGGGGGGGGAGTCCATACTTCCGGCTCAGGCGAGTCCCGTTTGCGTCACGTCGGCGGATATTTGGTAAACACGAGCTCGTTTGAAAGGGCAAATAAAAGACGTTTTTTATACCTCTTTTTCTCGTTTTTTTACGCTTCTGTGGTGGTATTCAGCGTTTTTTTTTTTCGGTTTTTTTTTTCTTTCTTTCTTTTTTTTAGCATGGTCTGTCGAACTAATAAGGACGACTATTATGTACAGTATTATTGAATTTATAATCACGATCCTCACCAGCTCCTTGTTTGACATTTTGTTCCCACTTTTACTTAATACTTTTCGCTAGTTATTGCTCATTTTCACCCATGTTTATTTTCTTCCTTCCGTATTCTTCCTGTCCACTCGCACTCCCTCGTCCCCTCAGCGGACACCCACACGAGGCGTCCCTTTGGGGTCTAATCATCCTGGCTAATCTTCGCGGTGCACTGTGGTCGGGGGGAACAGGAGAGTCACGCTTGATCGGAAGGGAAGTGGAGGTGGAGAGAGAGAGAGGGAGGAGGGAGGGAGAGAGGCAGGGAAGGAGGGAGGGAAGGAGTGAGAGGGGAGAGGGAGGGAAGGAGTGAGGGGGAGAGAGAGAGAGGAGGAGGAAGGAGGGGGAGAAGGAGGAAGGAGGGAGGGAGAGAGAAAGGGAGGGAGGGAGGAGAAGAGAAAGAGAGGGGGGATGTAAAGGCCATAGAGAAAGAGAGAGATGGAGGGAAAAAATGTCATGGCCATAGAAGAGAGAGGGGAAAGAGGTCGGAGGAAGAAGGCGAAAAAATATCAGGGACACACAACACACACACACACACACACACACACACACACACACACACACACACACACACACACACACACACACACACACACACACACACACACACACACACACACAGACAGGAACAGACAGACAGAAACAGAAACAGAGACAAACAGGGGAGGGGGTTGAGGAAAAATCGCCAGGGCGCCACAACCCGTGATCAACCGAAATAAGGCTGTGTCGTCGATAGTGAGTGTACGATATTGCCAGGGAGAATGTTCATTACTCGCCCGGGGGAAGGCACGGACACCGAGGAAAGAGAGAGAGAGAGAGAGAGAGAGAGAGAGAGAGAGAGAGAGAGAGAGAGAGAGAGAGAGAGAGGCCGATGGACAGACAAGCAAGCAGACAGACACAGACAGACAGACAGACAGCCAGGAGGGGGAAACTGAAGCTGGATCGATCTGTAGATGATGACTGGCTTGGGAGGGTCATTAAACGTTGATCGACAGCGAGGACATGTCGCCGCTCGACTCGACAGGTGAACGTCTGGCGCGGAGGGAGCGATGGTTGACGCCAGGTACGATAATTGTTCGCTCCCGAGACGACAGCGTGACGGCGGAGGGACGATGATCTCGCTGATCTTGCAGGATATTACCGCCGGCCCTCGTTGCATGTCGCGAATGACACTCGCATTTCTCTTTATTGACTGTCATTATTTTTTTCCAATGCCTTTTTTTTTTTCTTTTCCTTTACTAGATGAATATTATTATGCATAGTCCTTCGGGGTGTTTATTTTTTTTGGGGCGTGGCTCTAGGGCCTTGTTTTCAGCTGTGAGATAATGCGTTTAGGAAGTGTCTGATGCAATACTCGCGGCATCTGTAAGGATGTTGCAAAACTAATTGCGATGCAGATTTTTTAGAGTGATTGTTTACACGCTGGCGTCCCATACTCACGCATGCGAAGGTCGTATTAGGTAGTTTTTTTCTAGCTGATGAAATAAGCAAGACGAGCTCTTTCTTTCAGTTTGTATTTCACAATATCGTTTTGTTTTTATTTTTATTTTTGTTCCATTCTTTTGCCATTTTTTTCGTGTGATAGCATTCAGCTTTCCACAGTTCTAAATTTACGGGGAGCTAATCCGACCACAGACCGTCAGCTAAGAATGTGACAATGAAAGAAAAATCAGATTTTTTTTTCTTTTTTAATTGTATGCAAAAGAGAGACGAAATGAAGGCAGGCGAGAGAGCGTGTCGTCCGAAAAGGTCGTCCCAGCGTGCAGGCCTATGTGTATAGTCGTCACGTAGCTGGTGTGGCGAGCGATTCATTAAATGCCAACAAAGCCGAGCTTTTAGCGGAGAATGTTGCGGTTCTGCGGTCTGCTTGGCGGGGGGGGGGGGGGGGGGGGTCCAAGGTGCCGGAGGGAGGGAGGTGTATTTTGGTATTGGGTGTACCGGGGTATGCGGAGACCGGGTTGTGAGTCTTGTGTGATGAAGGCGAATGCCCGTGGGACATGAGTGCGTTTAGTGCGGTCGGGGGAGAATTAGGAGTTATGTGGTAGAAGGAGTAAGAGCTCCGTAAATAGGAGCAAATCGGAGTGAGGCATGTTCGGGGGAGAGGCCTGAGTAGCGGGGAGGGCGGTTGGCGATGTGTAGGAATAAGGAAATGTGCGAGAAAGCAGGGTCCCCCTTCGTCGGATGGCGGGGCACTTGCTCAGTCCTCTATTCTTCCTATTTTCATATTATTTTTTTTTTTCCGTGATGGCGATGAATGGTCTCGTGCGTTGGCCCTAACCATGTTCTCTCCGTCCCTGCAGATGCTGAAGTACGTGCAAGTGTCGCCGTACCGGAGTTCCTCGGCCCTGGGGGGCGGGGCGGCGGCGGGGGTGGCCGGCCGGCGGGTAGCGAGGGCGCCTGCGTGGGGGGCGACGACTCCAACCTGTCGTCCCCCTCACGCCCTCCACCCGCATGTCCACGGCCTCCACCGCGTCCCCAACACCACCACCTCCACCACCATCACTCCTACACCTGCTCCTCTCCTCCGTCGTCGTCCTCATCGTCATCCTCGTCCTCGTCGTCCTCTTCGTCGTCCTCGTCTTCCACCACAGGGTCGTCCCGCGGCCTCGGGGGGAGGAGGAGGTGTAGGGGGCGGGAGGGCCGTCGGGCGAGCGGACAGCGTGAGCCTCAACTCGTCCATGTCGTGCTCGAGCATCAGCCAGGACCCGCTGAGTTCCCGCTCGTCGTCCTCCACGTCCCTCCACGACACGCCTAAGGTGAGTCAGTCCTTGCTTGCTTCCCCGAGATGAAAGGTCCAGGTGAGTGCGTCGTGACGGTGCGTGTGTATGCATACGTGTGTATGTGTATGTGAACCGCGGAGGAGGGAGGGAGGGGGGGGGGGGGAGGGGGCATGGTCTTCGCGAACCCCGCTGCCCCGACGGTGTATCGGGTGCCCGGCGCGGCAGTAGTGAGTCACCGTCCGCCGGGGATCGTGTGGCCCTCCATGAGAACTTGCAGATTGCATGGCGCCGGTGGGGGTCCGGAGGGGGGCTGGCAGTGTCAGATGTCAGGTTATTACTTTTGGCATTGGGTTACGACACGAATAGATCGTGCTTGCATATATGCAATAGCTCGCATGTATGATAAATAGGGAGAGAAGGAGGGAGGAACGGGAGGAAGAGAGAGAGAGAGAGAGAGATCGGGGCAGATAGGCGAATGAAGTTGTATTTCAAGTGTAAAATAAATTCAAAGTATGGAGGTCAAAGAAAATAAGGTAAGCACACGAAATGAAGGGGTGCGAGGCCATTAGAGTGTTAGGGTTATATAGGAATCAAGACGAATATGTTAATCCGCGAAGAAAACTGGAAAAGATGATAAGAATCAGATAAGGCCACTTCGGACAAAAGGGTCGGCCTGGAAAGACTTGGAAAGAACATATATATGGGGGAATAGTTAACAAAAGGAGGAGGGAGAGAAACTGATAGAAGATAGGAGGAAGTAGAGAGCGATAATAGGACTTGGGACGATAGTTGGGATCTGATGTTTGTGATTATTAATAGATATGATTTGGAAGTTTTAAGAGATTTGATATCCCGGGACCTACAAAGCACTCACAGGAAGTTATTGCCATTGCTTACCAGTCCATGCAGTCGGTCATGATTTGCAATGAGCTCGAGAAGAATCGAGAAGAATCCAGTGAATAGAGTCCAATGCTGCTTGTGCCAATCGCTTCGTCTTTCTCTGCCAATTTGAGTCCTCGCTTTTTGCAACGTCCATTAAACTAAGGAAGAAGATAAGGACTGCAAGAAGAAATAGGAGAGGAAATTAGTGCGAAGAAGAGAGATGGAGGAACTAGAGGAATTGTAGGAATTGAGGAAGCGAAGAAGGAAAGGAGGAGATGGAGAATGAGGAAGCGAAGAAGAAAAAATAGAGGAAGTGGGGAATTGAGGAAGCGAAGAAGGAGAGATGGAGGAAGTGGAGAATTGAGGAAGCGAAGAAGGAGAGATGGAGGAAGTGGAGAACAAGGAAGTGAAGGAGGAAGCAGAGGAAGTGCGCGAGGGAGAAGGGAGACGAAATAAGGGGGAAGCGGAACGGTGGGTCGGGCATGGTTCCCGTACAAGAGAAAGTAGTTAAGTCATTAGTGGATGAGTTGAAGAAAAGGGGGTAGTCTGAATAGCATTTTCTGCATGGGTGAGCATGACTAGGATGGGGGGAGGGGGAGGAGGAAGGAGAGGGGGCCCTTGGAGGACTAGTGTCGTGCTATTTTGTGCTGTGTCGTGGCCGGGGCTGAGCTGCGGTATGTTCTGGGTGCTGTGTTGTGACCCGTTTTGGTCGTGCTGCTCGTGTATTGTTAACGGGAGTGGGAGTAGGAGTGGTAGTGGGGGGGGGGGGATTTTCTCCTCTCGCGTTCCGTGTCTTATTCCTCTCTTTTATTCCGTCTTCTTCTAGTTTTCGAGTTCTATGTCTCGTACCTTTTTCGTCGTCTTTCTCCTTTCATATTTTCACTCCCGTCTCTTCTTCCCGATTCTCGCGTCCTGTGTCCCAGACATTTTTATTCCTCTCCTTCTTCTTAATTCTTGCGCTTCGTCTCGTCTTCCTCGTTTTCTTCTTCGCTTCCTCCTCCCGATTCTTGGCATCCCGCGTCTTCTTCCTCGCATTCCTTCCCGCTTCTCCCTTCCACTTATCCGTCGCTTCTCGGCTAATCCTTTACCAAGCATTTCTCGTTGCTAAGTGGCCGTCTTGATCGCCGTCTCGAGGAAGGCTCCGAGATGCTGGCGAAGATAGAGCGTCTTGAGTCGTGAATAAATGAGAGATAAATATTTGGCCAATTTGTCCGTCTGTTGCCTTCTTCATGTGGCTGGGCTTTTGGTGTAGTTGCACGTGTGTGTGTGTGTAGTGTGTATGTGCGCGCGCGCGCGTGCGTGCGGGCATGAGTATGCGTGTTTACATACGTGCTAGTATGTGTATGCACGCGTGTACATTTTGTGTGCCTGCGCGTGTATGTCCGTCCGTCTGCCTGTGTGTCGTAAGCAAGAGTCGACGCAAAGCCTCTGCATCTGGCCGAGCGCCCTCAGCCTGGTCAGAGCGCCCCCGCCGTCCTGCGCCGGGGGTCGCGTCCGCAGTGCCGCGACCCTGGCCGCGCCCGCCTCCATCTTCGCCCCCCCCCCCCCCCCTCCTCTGTCTTCGTGGCTTTTTCATTTCTTCTTGCTCCTCCTCATCTTACGGCTTCTTCCCATCTTTCCTTTACCTTCTTCATTACTTCTTCCTTGTCTGTATCTCGGTTTCTTAAGCCAATCAAGTCTCATCATTCGCGAGGTGGCAAGAGATGATATCTATTTATCTCTATATCAATCTATCAATCCATCTACATATATCTAGCTAGCTATCCAGCTATATCTATCTATCTATCTATCTATCTATATATATATATATATATATATATATATTATATATATATATATATATATATCTCTCAGTATATATATATATATACATATCTACTATATATATACCATACATTAATATGTATATATAGGTATATCTATATACATATACATACATATACATATATATATATGTATATGTATATGTATATATATATATATATATATATATATATATATATATATATATATATATATATATATATATATATATATATATATATATATATATATATATATATATATATAATATATATATATATATATATATATATATATATATATTATATATATATATATATATATATATATTTACACACACACACACACACACACACACACACACACACACACACACACACACACACACACACACACACACACACACACACACACACACATATTTCTCAAGGAGAAAGGGAGGCGCTGAGAGACGCCGCTCGGCAATTTCCTCTCCTCTTCACTCTCACCCCGATATCCCAAATAACGGCCATGGAAAAGAGCAATAAGTGAATAAACCTCAACGACGCCGCGCTCTCGACCCACGCCCATAACTCGAACCCAGTGATCGTGCCATCTCGCGGTGTGCAAAGGCAGCCTCCTTTGCGATGCGAGGTGTAGGTAGGTAGTTGCACGTGTGTGTGTGTGTGTGTGTGTGTGTGTGTGTGTGTGTGTGTGTGTGTGTGTGTGTGTGTGTGTGTTCGTTGCGTGCAAACTATAATAAATACAATACAATACCTTGTACTTGTAATGCCCCGCGTTGCGCCCCGCTATCTGTCTGTCACGAAGGGCGTACGGATAAAGCGCGAGTTATTGTTATTGTTGTTATTTTCGTATTTATTTTCTTTCTTTCTCTTTCATGTCTCGCATCTTAAGGGGGTTGATATTATAGGTCGTTGGTCTGAATCTTCGGGTTTTGAAGAGGGGGCCAGGTGGGTTAGAGGGTGTTGGGGGGGGGGGGGGGGGGGGGGATGTTGTCCTACTATTAAAACAGCATCGTTCGACCTTCGGGTCACGTGATCACGCCAGGGGGGTGGTTGGTCTCGCATCCCTGTTGGTTGGCAGCGAGGGGCGGAGGACGCGGAATAGCGGGAGCAGCGGCCTCCGCGTCGTCGGCAGGGAATCTCTTGAATTACGGCGTTGTGAATCGCACGGAGAGGAGGCTTTGTAACCCGCGGACCTTCCGTAGAAAAGCGTGACACCCAGGGAAGTCACAGGCAGGGGTGGGGAGGGGGGGCTGGAGGAGAGGGGTGGGGGGCCGTGACATTGCGATGATGCTGGCCTACATATCAGGCTTGTACTCCATCGTGTTTCATTTGTTTTCTCTTCTCTCTCTTTCTTTCTTCTTTCTTTCTTTCTTTCTTTCTTTCTTTCTTTTCTTTCTCTTTCTTTCTTTCTTTCTTCTCTCTCTCTCTCTCTCTCTCTCTCTCTCTCTCTCTCTCTCTCTCTCTCTCTCTCTCTCTCTCTCTCTCTCTCTCTCTCTCTCTCTCTCTCTCTCCTCTCTCTCTCTCTCTCTGCTCTCTCTCTCTGCCTCTGAACCACCTACCTAGATCTTTATTTTGTCTGTCTCATCTCATTATCTCTATCTGCCTGTCCTTTTTCTCTGCCCTTCCTCGCTAAATCTCCCCTCTTCATCCTCCCTATGCCTGCTCCCTCGTCCTTCCATCTCCCTGCCACTTACCCCTTCAGCGCCCGCAGTGAGCAACGGGATGGGAGGGTAAGTGGGAGTTGGAAAGGGAGGGGGAAGGGAAGAGGTAAAGGAGGAAGGAGGGGAGAGGGAAGGGAGGGAAGGGATAGGAGGAGGAGAGAAGCAGGTGGGACAGAGGGGAAGGAAGGCGAGAGGGAGAAGGGAGGGAGGACGAGGAGAGGGCATGGGAAGAGGAGAGGGAGGAGGGAAGAGGAGGAAGGGGAAGAGAGGAGGGAGGGAGGGGCAGGGGGAAGAGGGAAGGAGGACGGGGGGGGGGAAGAGACGAGGGGAGGGGGAGGTGGGAAAGAGGGAAGGGGAGGACGAGGGGAGGGGCAGGGGGGAAGAGAAGGAGGAGGGGGGAGGGAAGAGGACGAGGGGAGGGCAGGTGGGAAGAGGGAAGGAGGTGGGAAGAGGGAAGGGAACGAGGGGAGGGCAGGTGGGAAGAGGGAAGGGAGGCGACGGGAGGGGAGGCGAGGGGGAGGGAAGGAGGACGAGGGGAGGGGAGGTGGGAGAGGGAAGGGAGGACGAGGGGAGGGGCAGGTGGGAAGAGGGAAGGGAGGACGAGGGGAGGGGGCAGTGGGAAAGAGGGAAGGGAGGGACGAGGGGAGGGCAGGAGGTGGGAAGAGGAAGGGAGGACGAGGGAGGGGCAGGTGGGAAGAGGGAAGTGGGAAGAGGGAGGGAGGACGGGGGTGCGATTAATGTATGACATCCGAAAACCTCTAGAACAATCAACGAGGGGGCCAGCGGTGACCCTTCTGAACTCCAACCTCTTGAGCGCTCGTTGGAGGACCATCCGTTGTGCGCTCGTTCGCCCGTCTGCTCGCTCTAGTCCGTAATGGCCACTGTTGCTGCGGTTGTTGTTCTTGCAGTAGTAGAAGGATAGTTGTGGTTGTTGTTCTTGCAGTAGAAGTATCAGTAGTAGTAGAAAGATAGTTGTGGTTGTTTTGCAGTAGAAGTATCAGTAGTAGTAGTACAGTTGTTGGTATTGAAAGAATTGTTTGTGTATTTTGTATTTTATGTGTATGTATTTTGTCAGTTGTTGCTATGGTGGAGATGGTTTATCGCCAATTTCATTATTGTATTAGCACCATTATTGCTATCGTGCTCTTTGCATTTCCGCTATTTGCACAATGGCGTGTTTACCCTGCCTGCCCGATTGGCCTACATCCCAGGTAAGATTGAGATGAGGGGCACTGGGCGGGCGGGGCGGGGGCTGGGGGGGGGGGGAAGATGCTGGTGCTCCACATTATAACCCCCCGACGTAACCTCCTTCAGCCGCGCCGGAAGCTGAGACAGAGAGAGAGGGAGGGAGGGAGGGAGTAGGGAGGAGAGACAGACAGAGAGACAATCAAAGAAAGATACAGGAATAAGCAGACAGAAAAAAAAACATCCCCGAACGGAAGCCGAAAGGAAGACAGACCCATGCACAGCGCGAGACATGGCCCTCCTCCCCCCCATCTTCCAATTTCCATCTCGTTGCTCTCCAAAATCCTCAGCTTTTCTTCCTTCTCCGAGCGGTGGGCGTCTGCCACCCGACCCGGCACGCGTCAGGTGCCCGATTCGATACCCGCCTCTGCCAGTAATTAACAGTCCTCCCGTTTCAAATGCTAATTGGCGGCGTGGCCCTCCTCGCTCGGCCTCGAACCTCAGTGGACCGTTTATCCACTTGACCGACAATTACCCGCCTACCCGACTCCGAGACGCGGAGACATGGTATTCGATGCCCTCAGACGCGCCTCGGGATCAGCTGGAAGGAGGGTCGGAGCGGGCGGGGGCTGCAGGCGACGGGAGGGGGTGGGGGGAGACGGCGCGAGGGAGGAAGATGATGTGAGGGATGCCGGGGGGACGCGGTCGGTTTCGTCTCCGTCTCTTGCTCTCCGGTTTCTTTCGTTCGTTTTCTTGCTTCTGCTTCTTGGTTTTTTTTTTTTTTTTTGCGTTTCGTATATTTTTTTTCGTTTAGTTTCGCTCCCTTTCCTTCCGCCTTCTCTATTACTTTGGCGATTAGTGCTTGCGAAGTGAATGAAATTTCGTAGTTTTCGCGACGCTACAAGGGGTGAGACTTTTACATTTTTTTCTCTTTTTCTTTCCTCTTCTCACCAGTATTCTTCTCTTTCCTCCCCTCTTTCCCCTTCCTTCTCTTCCTCTCCTTTTTCTTTCGTCTCTCCTTCCTTCCTCTCCTCTTCGCTTTCCCTTCCCCCTTCCTCTCCCTTTTCTTTTGTCTCTCCTCGCTTCCTTCCTCTTCGCTTCTCTCCCCCCTTCCTCTCCTTTCGCTTTCCCTCCCCCTTCTCTCCTTCTCTCCTCCGCATGCCTGCCACTCCGTCCGCAGCCAGATGAAATGCGCGTCTGAAACGGCATAACTCAAAACAGGTTTTTTTCTTTTCATTTTTCTCGTACGAGCAGATTCCAGAGGGGGGGGGCAGGGGTGGAGGCGGGGGTTGCTATTGGGAGTGGAAGGAAAAAAATAAAGCGTATTTGCAAATAGGAAAAAAATGATGTGCAAAGGCGTGTTGGTGTATGTTTTTCCTTTATGTATTGTTTCATGTATATACTTTCTTTATATATTCTTTCGTTTATATATTCTTATATATTCTTTCCTCTCTATCTTTCTTTATATATTCTTTCCTCTCTATACTTTCTTTATATATTCTTTCCTCTATATACTTTCTTTATATATGCTTTCCTTCTATACTTTCTTTGGTTACCTAGTCAGACACACTGGTCTCCAGCTTATTTTTTTTCCGTCTACTTCCTTTTTATTTTTATTTCTTTTTCTCACTAGCTTTTTTTAGCAGAATTTTCATAATATATTTTTATTTTGGAAATCCGTCTATTTCCATTTTTACTAGCATAATTTTCATATATATATATGAGTATTATCTGCCATCAACGTTGCGATCGTCACTGCTGTTGCCATCGTATCGTCGCCACTGCAATTGGATCAGCGCCACGACGTGACCCGGAAATAAAGGCGGAACTCCCCGATTGCTCCCGGCGTTGACGCGGATACACGCATTCCGTCAGACACTCTTGCGCTGAGAGGGGGGGCGGGGAGGGAGGGGGGAGGGGGGAGGGGGAAGGGAGGGGGAAGGGGAAGGAAGGGAGGAGGGAGGAGGAGGGAGAGGAGGGAGGGAAGGGAAGGGGTGGAGGGAGGGAGGGGGGGGGGAAGGGAAGGGAGGGGAGGGCGTGGTGGAAGGGAAGGGGGGGGGAAAGAGAAGAAAGGAAAGGAGAGGAAGCCATAGTGATAATGATGATGATAATCACGATCATAGGATTGGTAATGATGATTAGATTGATAATGATAATGATATATATAATGATGATAATGGTAATGATACTAATGATGATTATAATAGAAATAATGATGATCCTAATGATGATGATGATAATGATTATGATAAGAAGAAAAGGATAAGAATAACGAAAGACGTAAACGGAAAGGAAGGCGAGAAGATGAGGAAGAATCAGAGCAAGGTTAAAAGGAGCAGGAAGGAGGAAGAAGAGAAGGAATAAAAATCGAAAATGTTTATACAAGAAAGGGAGGGAGAAGGAGGGAAGAGAGGAAATGGGTCGGGAAGAGAAGTAAATAAAGAAAAGAAGGAGAGGGAAGAGGGAAGAGAAGTAAATAAAGAAAAAGAAGGAGGAAGGAGGGAAGAGAAGTAAATAAAGAAGAGAAGGGGGAAGGAGGAAAAAGAGGAAATGGGGTTGGGGAAGAGAAGTAAATAAAGAAAAGAAAGGAGGTAGGAAGGAAGAGAAGAAATGGGTTCGGGGAAGAGAAGTAAATAAAATAAAGAAGAAGGAAGAGGAGGCGAGGAAATGGGGTGAGGGAAGAGAGTAAATAAAGAAAGAAAGGAGGCAGAACAGAAGAGAGGAAATGGGGTTTGGGAGAGAAGTAGAAAAAAACGAAAGAAAAAGAAGAAGAAATAGAGGGAGCGGAGGGGCTTTCTCTCCCCCCGGCGACTCCCCCGTGGTACGAGGTCCGCCGCCGCCGCCATTGTTTCGGTCGATCATCCAGGGAGCATTCGGGCGGTGTGGCGTGGACCGCATCCGCTTGCAGGCGCTTTTTACGTGTCCTGCTGCTTATCATTATTTTTATTATTTTGTTTTTCTCTGTTCTTTTTTTTCGGTTGGGTGGGCGTGTGGGGTGGGCGATGGGCAGGGGAAGATTGTTTTTTCTTTCTCTCTCTCTCTCTCTCTCTCTCTTTCTCTTTCTTTCTTTCTTTTCTTTTCTTTCTTTCTTTCTCTCTTTCTTTCTTTCTTTCTTTTCTTTCTCTTTTCTTTCTTTCTTTCTTTCTTTCTTCTTTCTTTCTTTCTTTCTTTCTTTCTTTCTCCTCTCTCTCTCTCCTCTCTCTCTCTCTCTCTCTCTCTCTCTTTGTTGTTTTTCTCTTTCTCTTTTTTTGGTGGGAGGGTGGGAGGTGGGAGGTGGGGGTGGGTGGAGGGAGTGTGTACGGTTTTCATCGGGTGGGTTTTAAATGGTCAATTGGCCAGGTGGAAAGTCCGTACGAGTTGAAGGGGTTTCGTGTGTGTGCGTGCTGTGCGAATTTTGTTGTGATGGATCTCGCGTGGGGTTGTTTGGATTGAGTGAGAGGAGCGGTGTGGAATATATTGGGGTGATTAATTCTGTATTGATTTTATTCTCTTCTCTCTGTCTCTCTCTCTCTCTCTCTCTATTCTATCTATCTATCTATCTATCTATCTCGCTCTGTCCATCTATCATGTAAATCTCTATCATCTATCTCTTTTTCTTTTCTTTCTCTCTTCTTCACCTTCTCTCTCTTTCTGTCTCTCTCTCCCATGCCATCTCCAAAAGCATGGCAAACGGAGCTCCCCAGAACAGGAATTCCCTCATGATACAAATAAGCTGAACATACCCAAAAGCGATAATTGTCCTTAGTCCTCAGTAGCCTTTAGGGCGAGGGAGCCACTGGTTTATTGATGATTAACAACCATGTTGCGGATTTATTACTCTCTGCCGGTCACAGTAAAATGTGATATTGCCATTACAGGTTCCCGGACTTTACGTGAGAACGGTTAAGGTAAGTCTGTTGTGGAATGTGTGTTTATGTGCATGTGCATTTTGTGTGCGCGCGTTTGTGTGTGTGCGCACGTATTTTGTGAGTGTGTGCGTGTGTGAGTGAGGAGAGAGAGAGAGAGAGAGAGAGAGAGAGAGAGAGAGAGAGAGAGAGAGAGAGAGAGAGAGAGAGAGAGAGAGAGAGAGGGAGAGAGAGAGGAGGTGAGAGACCTGAGAGAGAGAGAGAGAGAGAAAGATATCCATGCATGACCAAACACGCCAAATTAACTAAACTAAAAAGACCAAACCTGCATCTATTAAACTTAAATCACTTACCGCCATACTTCCCCAACATGCCCTAAAACTAAACCAAGAGACGAACGACTTTCCAAAAACCTCCCCCACTCAACGCCAGAATCAGAATCACGACCAGAAGCCACCGGAGACGCCGTTCCGTGCCCGTCGACTCGATATCCGGAGCCAGTGTCAACATCCCGGTTTTATGAGGCCGTAAAGCATTCAGGGTCGAGTAGCGTCTGTGAGGACTCTTTGAGAGACATCAGACCTTCGAGAAATTGGTGAGTGATTTGGGAGGGGGGCGAGGCGGGGGGAGGACGAGAGGGAGAGGACGAGGTGAGGGGTGAGGACGAGGGGAGATGGAGGGAGAGGGCGGAAGGAGAGGGGAATATATCAGTCATTTGGCTGTAGTGGTGTAGAAGGTGATATGTTTTTTTTCTTCACTTTTCTTTTCTTTTCGTCTGAGTGTTCTTCCTGCTTTCTTGGATATTTATTTACTTGCTCCCTCCCTCTTCCCTTTCTCCTTCCCTCTCTCCCTTTCTCCTTCCCTCCTTCTCTCTCCTCTCTCCTTTCTCCTTTCCCTCCTCCCTCTCTCCTTCCTTCTCCTCCATCCTCTCTCCCCTATCTCCTTCCTTCTCTCCCTTTCTCCCTCTTTCTCTCATTCCTCCCTTCTCTCTGACACACGCATACATTGTGCTTCATTCCTCCCATTCACTCAGGCCTACACACCCGAGGCAAACACAAGAGCCACGATTGTTTCGCGAATCCAAGGAAGCGCCGGTTAGGCCTAGGGTGCAAAAAGGTTTTTCCTTCGCCGGGCCACACGGAAGCGAAGGCCGAGAGGGAGTGAAAGGAGAGGAAACAGAGAGGGAGAGAAGAGTGGAAGTAAAGTGAGAGAAGAGGGAAGAGAGAGAGGAAACAGAGGGAAAGGAATGAAAGAGAAAGGGAGGAAAGGGAAGAGATAAGAGACAGAGACAGAGCCAGAAGACAGAGCAGAGAAAGAAAAGAAAGCGAGGGGAGAGAGAAGAGTGAGTGAGTGAGGTGAGTGAGTGAGTGAGTGTTGTGAGTGATGTGAGAGGAGAGAGAAAGGAAGAAAAAAAGGAGAAGGAAAAGGAAGGGGAGGCAAGGCCCGTTCGACAGGAGTTTATGGCCGCGGAAAGCGCGAGCGCAAATGGCGTGGTTTGGGGGGGGCGATAATTCCGTCGTGGCCACGATTTGTCTTGTTTGTTATTGATATTTGCTGCTGTTTGCCTCTTCGATCCGTGTCTGGTTCTTCTTTTATTCTATTTTTGCGTCTCTTTTTCTTTCATTTTATTGTCCCTTTTATTGTCGTAGTGTTCTATTGTGCTCCATTTTCCTCGCGCATTCCAGTCATTCGGTAAGATTCCGTCGCATTTTCCGCCCCAACGAGTTCGGACAATCTTAAAACGCGTATCATTCGCTAAGTAATCAAAACGAAGGAAAAAGACGGTAATCTTCAACCCACAATAAAAACATACTCGCCGTTTCCTGTTGTCGCCGCGTGTTTTGACAGCACATTTTTACTTTTTTTTTTTCTTTTTTTTATTCATTCGCCGC